GTCACTATTTAGAAAGCCAGTTATTACTTTCAAGAGATTACAATAAAACTAGGATTCACCCCTTCAATCCTGATCTTTTAGCCCCTAATAAGACTGAGGAATATATTTTGACGTGAAGAAGTGCTTATGGCAAAATACGGCATTTCATGCAAAGGTCTATGCTTCTCATTTCCAGGTATGTGGCATATAAAGTAAATACTGCTTCTTTAACAGCAGGACAAGTTCAGCAATGAAATGTCAAGCGGCAAATACTCAAGAGTATCTGGGAAGCAAAATACATTAAGATAAACCCAGATTGCAAGTCTACTCTATATGAAAACAGGAACCCTAAGATTACCTTTTTCACAACTAAAACAAAGATATTGCTTTATCTTCATGTTCTGTTGATACTACATATTTGACTAGGTCTGTTGTATTCTCCAAGGGCTGTAGCCTACATCCAAAAGAAGGCATGTAGGGTTCCTTTCTCAATACTCAGCTTTTGTTTAAATAAAGTAAGATTGAAATCCTATATGCATGCACCTGGGAGCAGAAGTGGCTTGCCTGATGGGGCAGGGCCAGAGTGCTAGCTTGCCAGCATTGGAGTCACTGCCACACACCACGTGTAAGTGCAGGGCGGCAGCAGAGAGGTCAGCATAGTGCAAGTGCACCAGTGGGAGAGCCTGAACCCTGCTGATATTCCCATTCCTTCCCCCTCTGCCTCCCAGTAAGCAGCAGTGGCTCCACAAGGTGATCCACTTCTGCCTGCGAGTAAGTCCCACTGAACTCAATGGGGTTTACTTCTGAGTAGGATCTGAATAAGATCACAATGCAAGTCTCTCTCACTTTGATATAGTGGTACCTCGGTTTACGAACTTAATCTGTTCCGGAAGTCCATTCTTAAACCAAAACTGTTCTTAAACCAAGGCGCGCTTTCCCTAATGAGGCCTCCCGCCGCCAGTGCCCTTCCACCGTTCGGATTCCATTCTTAGACTGATGTAAAGTTCTCAAACCGGGACACTACTTCCGGTTTTATGGGGTTCGTATACTGAATAGTTCGTAAACAGGGCTGTTCTTAAACTGAGGTACCACTGTATATGTTAAAACATGGAGGCAGTATTTGAGAGAAATTATGAGAAAACACTAGGCGTTCATTATTTAGAAGAAGAAGAAGAAGAAGAAGAAGAAGAAGAAGAAGAAGAAGAAGAAGAAGAATATTCAATGTAATCAACATACTAGGTTACCCTTGTTTATGTTGTGGCTGTTCGGCAATGATTCTCCATCCCCTAAAGGCCCCTCCTCACCAGCGTTTCCTAATACAGGTCTGCATTCCCATTGATTTTTGTAGCAGACCAAGCAAGCAAAGCTCTGGTTATTATTAACTGGCATTGTACTCTAAAACAAAATCACATAAAAACATCACTTATGTTTTGTGCAGTATTATGCAAGATACATATTTTAGCTATAAATAAAATTAAGTAATTGATACGAGGCAGACCGCTTGACTCAGCAGACTGGAAGAGTAATGCTGCTGGTTTTACTATGCACTCAGATTATTGGCACACATAACTAGGGGGTGAGAGGGAAGAGAGATTGCTGGCAAAGCTTTACCCCTTTAGCTGCATCCAGTAAAGAAATTTCAGGTATGGGGAATGAACAAAAGGCTAAGCATTTCAAGAGTTAACAGTGTTGGTTCATTACATTAATTATAGATAGGAAGTCTTCTACATATACTTTTGTGCTGATCTGTGTGGCTGATCTTATAAGGACTGAATAAACCGAGGCAGCAATAGGTAAACATGAATCAGCTTGAAGTCTGTGCTAACAAGCTACACAGATAAAAGTCAAAAATCTTGCTCCTGAATTAGAACTGTCTATTGTAGAGGTTCTCAAACTATGGACTGTGGACTTCATTCAAGTAGAAGATAGACTGGGGAACAGCTGAGAATATCTGTACTTGGCTCTGACAATGGAGACAGAGGTATTTTGATTAGGACCAGATATGTCGAACAGGCTAACAACTGACCTAGGCTGGGATTTATGGATCAATCAAAATATGTAGCTCAATTGGTAGAGCATGAGACTCACTCAGGGTTGTGGGTTTAAGCCCCATGTTGAGCAAAAATATTCCTGCATTACAGGAATTTGGACTAAATGACTCTCATGGTCTCTTCCAGCTCTACGATCCTGTGATTTTATTTTTCATGTGTTCTTTCATAAAGCCATTCTACCCCATTTCCACATTAATCTGCAACCTTTAAAAAAAGAAAACCATCACAAAATTGTATTAAAATATATCTTTTATCTAAATGTATGCATTTCCAAATGTATTGCTGACATATTTTGGCATGCATTTTAAAATATGCATTTTAACACACCAGCACGTTGTTTTCAGTCAAGAATTCTACTGCAAAAATTGGAAAGGTGAATTATTTTGGGAGGTGCAGATCACAACTAGCCTAGGGACCATGATTTTCATTGTTTTGATGATGGTAATGATGGCACTGAATAACAAGAAGTTTATAAAGAGATCTCCTGAGATCTCCAGCAATGATCATTTGGTCCATGAAAAATGGTTGAGAACTGCTGCTGAATTTAAATTATAAAAAAGGAACCAGCAAAGAAATTAAAATTAAATCAAAGTACTTTGCAAGAACAATACATTTCTTAGCATTCCCAATCACAGTGAATGTGAGGCACTTCACTGCCCGGATGTTAACAAAATCATTTTTCTAGAAGTCATGACCTGAAAAATGTAGTGTATGAGCACTATCAGCAATACAAGCTTTCAATCATAGATGAACCACCATACAATTATAGATCACACCAGGGCCGTTCTCTCTGGTGTAGAAATCTTACAAGTTTTATCACAGCATCATAAATAATGCTATCTTATTTTGGCTCCTAATTAAATATCTATAGTCAATTTTAATTAACTGATTGCAATCAATTATCCTTGCCTCTAGATGTTGGATTAAATTACTAATACAAAAAAAAAATCACATCAAAGACCATGCAAAGTTATATGCACCCTGAAGTATTTACCTGAAAATGGTACTAAGGCTAAAGAACAAATGTTCTTAAGAATTAGAAGAAACCATAATATACTGAATATACTGAAAGGTATTGTTAAGATAAGAGATAAAGTACCTGTCCCCAAAGTTTGATTTTAAAGTCCTTTCCCCATTTATGTGCAAGACATGTGTCCCAAATCTATAAACATTTGCCAAAACCATGAAACTCTTTTGTCTAGCGGGTTTTCCATCTTGCGAGGCATTCATCTTGCGGGGCACCACTGTAAAGGCACTGGGGGATCATCATGCCTTCATTATTGGTGGAGCTAAAACACATGCTTTATTTTATTTTTAAAGTACTATGGGTCGGTTTCTTAGTATCATTACAGCTAATTCACTACTCATCAAATTGTAAAAGACTGATATCCTCAGTTCTGAAACATGTTCTAAACAAGCTACAAAGAAATCCAACAATATCAACAACACAATGCTGGTATTAGTACCAAAAAGGTGTGGGGGTGGGGAGACAGAAGGTTACCTTCCAAAATGAGAAGAAACAGATTAAGTTATCTCTCACAAACCATTTAATAATAACAAATGGTATGTTGCTATTCAAAGAGTTCTAACCAAGTTATTTCTGGTATGTTCCATGTATGAAAAAAAGCCACCGCATTGTCCAGGATACTGGTTAGCTGAAACAGCTATTTCATCAAGAGCATCTGTCATGGCAGATGGCCAATTCCCCCCCACCCCCACCTCGCCAAATCAGTCTTTAAACAGCAAGAAGCCACACATTTTTAGCTAGCACTTGAAAATATAAATTTGCAAGTCTAAACCTATAAACAAGTACTTGTGTTCCCCAATTAGAAAACACTGTCTACAAGTGTAACAAATGCATTTCTCCTCTTAAACCTACTCTTCAAAAAATAATTGATGAGATGGTAAACCTGTGTCTAAGTGGTACTGCTTCAGGCTACAGGTGCTGGTTCTCCTGCAAAATATATACATTCATATGCTTAGAAAGCCAGAAGATCAGGGAGGAGACTAGTTTGGAACCCTCTGCACTAACGTTATGAAGTCCCAGTCCTACCTTGTAGATGTAAAGGACAGGCCATTTCCAAACAAAGCATGCACTCTATCATGCTCTATTTTGGTTTTGTGTGGAAGACAATATGAAGAAGTGAAATAAACTAAAGTGATATAGGGCAAACACATGCCTCCCACTGCATTTGCTGGTGAAAACTAGGCCTGAGAAGCTTCGAGATGGAAAAAGAGCACTATAAACATGAAGAACAGGGGAAAGAAATACTTCACAAAAAAGTACCAGCTACTACAGTGTTGGTGGCTGGGTTTGTTACCCATGCTGATTTAGCAGCAATTGCTATAGGCACTGGCAAAGTCCCTGCGTGAATTGTAAGCGGCAGGTGCACTGATTGAACATGACAGTCAGTTACAAAAGCCTCCACATAGAAGCGCCTTTCATATTACCCATAAGAGCAGGATTCATGTCATACCCTGCAGACTCTCTCTGTACATATGTATAATGACTGCAAACAATATCTGTATCTGCTTTGTCTTTCCATTATTTGAGTATGACATACGCAGTTTACAAATCCAAATATAAAGGCATAAAGATGCCAGGATACAGAGAGGGCAAATTATAAAACCATCTGTCAAACTCAAAAGGTATCAAGCTGATTAAAGTGGATTAAGAAAGAAACTGTAATGCTGCCAGTATATAACTGGATGGCAAGGTAACATCTCCAGTTTCTGCAACAGAAGTATAAAACCTTATCCTGGAACCCAATCTTCTCTCATTGCCATAGTTATAACCAAATTATCTCCCACAACACCTTTTCAAGGCCAAAGACACAGAATATAGCACCTTCCCCTGGAAATTCTGTTTCCCCAGACTAGAAGCAAAAATTAGCACATGATTCATAAAGTGCAAGACATTTTGCGTATATAACAACAACAATAATAAAAATAATTAAAAAATTACAGTACCTCACAGTAAAATCATAGGAGCAGGAAGCTAATATAGTAGCATGAAATGGTGAAAACTACAAAGAGATAAAGATACATATATTAACAACACAAATACAGGAGAGAGAGAGATATAAGTTAACTAAGAATAGAATTTTGTAAAGGGTCATTATAAAGTATATTATTCAGTACAAAGACTGCTTTAAAGTTTTCAGCTTCCTTTTTTATCATACAGTAGAAGCACCCAACAGCCCTACCATAAATTAAGTTCTCAACTCCATTTAAAATCCCTTACATGACAGTCACCCAAGGTGGCTATTACATTTTCCCTTGGGCTGCAGAATGAGCATGAGTTCTCAACCAATGAATGGTCAAAGTGTTTAAATGCTCATCCCAATTCAGCAGCAGTATCCTTTTCCTTTCACAGAACATTTAAGAGAGGGATATACTCTATACTGCTACTCTATACAAGGCCATATTTTCTTCCAATACCCTCTTTTAATTTAATTACTATTATTAAGAAAACTGGATTCAAGCTTGAAATCTGGCAACAGCACAAGAGTCTCATAATTTCACCCATAAGGGAGAGTAGATATATTATTATAGTCCTTGGCAGACACAGTGGGGATGAAACAAAGGCTGCGGCAAAGATAGGAGCCATGAGCCAAACTCTGTCAACCTCATTTCTGGCTCTTACACAATTAAAATTTTAACTCATCATTTTTAAGCACGTCAATGGTGGAAAATAATAATTTTCATTCTCCTCACCACTGCCACCCAGCAAAGCTTATAGTCCTAATATCCTTTCATTTCTCTCTCTCTCTTGTTTTAAACAAGTAGCAAGAACTTCTAAAAGATATCTGAAATAAGTTCTATATTTCATCATAGCAACCACTTCAGCATACTATCTGAAAGTATCAACAGAAAAAGTGCACTTTATCCACAAGATGGAAGCAAGGTACTTGCACAGGGACTTCTTTGCACAATCACCTACTGAAGTGGCTGTGGTCCAAAGAGTTACTTAGGAATACCCAAAGGGTAGGCAGGCCCAATGGGAGTGGTGTGGTTTTTCTTCTGAACAGCAGATTCAGAGGGGACCTTCTGGGCCAAGGTGCCCTGTCTATGGAATGTGCTCCCCAGTGCAGAACTAGGCACAAAAATGGAGCCAGGTTACTGCCAGATTTTAATTATAAAAGTGATTCCAAAACAAATGTTTAAGGGGTGTTTGTGCATTCATTAACTCCATTACACAGACTTCCTATGTTAGTGATATATGTACAGCAAACTAGAAATTTCTAATAATATATTTTTAAAAAACTTACTTTGAGTCTTCTTATAGCATATGTATGCCCAAAGAGCTTGAATACTGGCTGTCGGATGTTCCTCAAATCCCAGCCTTTCAAACTGCAGTCAACAGCACCTGATACCAGCAAGTTCTGGTAATTTAATAAAATATAGAATGGGTTAAAGTAAATATATGTGTAGCTTTCAAATGATAAACTTAAAGAACAGTTGTTAACAGCACAATCCTATAATGTCTCCTCAGAAGTAAGCCCTATTGAGTTCATTTTTTTTTATATTGCAGAATTCTTAGAGGCTTACAATTTACTACACCAAGGTGTTGTACAAAAATGGGAAAATAGATCAAATAAAAGCAATATAATGTCACAGAACAAGATAAACCAAGATTCACTTGGGCACAATGTCAGCTGGGACAGAAATTAACAATACTAATACTAATCAGTGAGACTTCCAGGAAAATGTGTATAGGAGTACAGCCTCAGACAAATACTGGTATCAATCTAGAGCTGACAGACAGTATACGTGATTGAGAGAAATGCTTTAAATACTAGAGCAGTGTTCTGCAACCAGGCGTGCACACCAAGGGTGTGTGTTTGTCAGTGTTTCCAAAAATATGTATAATATACCGTATTTTTCGCCCTATAGGACACACTTTTTCCCCTCCAAAAATGAAGGGGAAATGTGTGTGCGTCCTATGGGGCGAATGCAGGCTTTCGCTGAAGCCTGGAGAGTGAGAGGGGTCGGTGCGCACTGACCCCTCTCGCTCTCCAAGCTTCAGGAAGCCTTGGGAGCCTCCAAACCAGGTCGGGGGACAGCGGGCAGGCACGCTGCGCCTCCCCGCTGTCCTCCAGCTTATGGGGCTGGCAGTGGGGAGAAGCATGCAGTGCGCCTTCCTGCTGTCCCCCGACCTGATTTGGAGGCTGGCGACGGGGAGAAGTGCGCCTGTCCCCACCGCCAGCCCCACAAGCTTGGGGGACAGCGGGGAGGTGGAGCGCCGCCATCCCGCTGTTCCCCGACCTGGTTTGGGCTTCAGGCAGATATCTGCAAGCAGTGGGAGCCCGCTGGGAAGTCGTGCCGGTCTCCCAAGGCTTGCGGAGAGCTGCCTGTTCTGGGGGCTGGGGTCGGGGGAAGCTCGGGCTTCCCCCACCCCAGCCCCGCACCTGGGAAAAAAAAAATTCCCCCCCTTTATTCGCCCCCCCCAAACTAGGTGCATCCTATGGGCCGGTGCATCCTATGGGGCGAAAAATACGGTAAGTAAAAAATTAAAAGATCAATCCACAGCTAAAGATGAAGTCAGTTTAAATCAATATCCATATTCTGTTTTCCTTGCCTTTATCCATTCTGCCTCTATATCCCCATTACTTTTAATGTAAATGTGCAATTCTATTCGTGGACTCCCTTCATGGAATATGTGTCTATTTTGTCATTACTAACTGCTAACACTGCAGAAAAATTTGAGAAGGTTTATGAACTTTATATAGCATTACAGATAGGCAGGCAACAGGTAATGTTTAGTCTAAGTAACACTGAACTTATATATGATTAAAATAAGACTTATGCATCCAGGTAGTATTTTTCTAAATACAGTGGTACGTCGGGTTAATTACTTAATTCGTTCCGGAGGTCTGTTCTTAACCTGAAACTGTTCTTAACCTGAAGCACCACTTTAGCTAAAGGGCAGCTCCTGCTGCTGCCGCGCCGCCTGAGCACGATTTCTGTTCTCATCCTGAAGCAAAGTTCTTAACCTGAGGTAATATTTCTGGGTTAGCGGAGTCTGTAACCTGAAACGTATGTAACTTGAAGCGTATGTAACCCGAGGTACTACTGTAGTAGCCTATAATGCTAATTGGATGCACATGTTCAGACAATGAACAACAACCAACAGGAATGCCAATGAAACCAAGATGTCAATCGCACAAACTCTTAATTCTAGAATCAATACAAGGACACCTCTTTGGAAGGGCAATGATCAACACTTATGCATAAGGAGTTCAATCTCCTCCTACCATAATGATGTCATTACAACATCATATGATTGACAGGTTGTCAAAGTTGTGCAGTTGTCAAAGTTGGCCTGCAGTGTGGGGGAGATATAGATCTGGCCCACTGGGCCAAAAAAGGTTCCTCACCCTGATCTAAGACAATGGTGTTCTTTTGGGTCTCTCATAGGGGTATTAATTAAACAAGTAGCAAATTAAGGATAACAATAGAGAAGTTAAATATTCATTTTTTGTAAACTAATATTGATAGTGGCATTTAAAAAGGGGAGAGCAATTTTAAAGTAAGAGTTAAGCAAGTGCTTATGTCTCTCCCAATGAAATCTGTCCAAAGTGCTTAACTTTAGCAAATTCCTAGTCTATACGTTACCAAGCCAGCCAAAAACATGACCACTGAAAGTTTAGAAATATATTGTTTCCAGCAATCATACCTGATCATACTTGCACCAATCACAACTTAAAATCTCCGCCTGGTGAGCAGGAATGATCACTGGGGGTCTTGGCGATTTTGCATCCCAAATTCTTAAAGTCTGGTCACCTGAAATAGAAGCACTAAAAAGTAATGCTTTTCCTGTTTCCAATACATATCCATTCAATTCTTCATATAATCACAATGGTGAAGCTTTTAAGCTTGTTACCTAGGAAAGCTTACAAATCAAACACCACATGCAAAATAAAAATGAGTAAGAAAGCTACAAGATGGAATTAACAACAGTAATTCTACATTTAAAAAACAACCAATGCAAGATTCAGTCTCGTTTCTCATTGTTTGCATTTATTCCTTGTTTTGGTATGTGTTTTTTGTTTGTAAGGATATATGATTTGGTCAATATCAACAACCTGTGTAACATTCTTAAAATCCGCTATGTAATTATAATTTTGTTAAAAATAAAAGCCATACCAGCTACTATTGGCCCAACAGACACCCTCAAAATGGTTCACAGTAGACAGTAAATGCACAACTGCAACATCAAAACATATAGCAGAGAATCCAAATTCAGTTAGAACTCAGTTATATCAACCACTTGCTTAAACATTAGACTACTCCAATTGCTCTACAAATATTTATAAAATTTCCTTGCCCAGCACCTTTTATCCTTGCCAGCTGCCCAGCTCTAGAACCAATCTAATCTATAACACACACAGATGTATATGCAATTAGCACCTCTCTGTTCAATAAAAGGAAAAAGGAAACTGGGCACAGGCCTGTTTTGCTGCAACAGTATCAAAGAATGGCTTTCCCTTAAAAGAGCATAAATGACAATAGGAACCCAATTCAACTAAAACTTCTAACCAGTGATAAGCATAAGTGTTATGTAGTGGTAAAGAACGGTCAAGGGCTTATTAAAACAGGCTGGTGATCTGCCTTCATCTGTAGAACTGGACCCCTAGTACTTTGGACTCCATGGCTCAAAACCCCTGTTGCTGCTTCAAAACCTATTTGTTCTGCCTTGTATTTTCATCTTATCCCAGTGATACAACCCAAGTAGCTGCTGTGTATCAACTCAGACCATTGGTCCATCTATCTCACTATTGCTGACACAGCCTGGCAGCTGTTCTCCTGGGTTTCAGGCAATGATCTCTCCCATACTTACCTGGAGATGCCAAGGATTGAATCTGGGACCTTTTTGCATACAAAGCACATGCTCCTCCAGTGAGCTACAGCCCTTTCCCAGCTGCAATGCAAGTATTTCCCAATATTGGTACTGAACATGTTCACCGATCCCGTTGCACCACAATGCTGCTATTAAGATTTAATTTTGTGTGATAAATGACATGACTCTGGGCAATATCTATGTTATAAATCCTGATTTTAAAAAGTAACAAGGATTAAAAATTAAAAATGGGAAAATATATATGAGAGGATAAAGTAGTGACTGGTTAACCAATGGCAAAAATTAGAAAAAAGTAAAGCTCAGAAATGATTCTGTAGATGAGGGTTCAGAAAAGTCTGAAGAAGTGAGACTGCCAGATGGAAGTGGGAGGTTGTTTCAGCCACTGGGAACAATTCAAGATGAGATACAATTAGAAGAAAATCTGTTTTATGTCAGCATTATACTTGGTGGAAAATTGTCATAAGGCAACAGTTTTTGATGATAACCCACATTTTGCTGCCCAGAATACTTGACAGTCTGCCTTTAACTGATTAATACACACACAAACACAAACACTTGGATGTAGTACAGAAGCGAAGGAGTATGAGTATTTTTGGATATTTGTGACACAAGGACACCTGGAGAACAAGCAACCGTAAGCAAAAACTAAACATTTTCCAATCCTGTCAAAGCCCTAGTCTAGATGAGACAGGCGGTTGACACAATTGTCCCTGATTATTCTCTCTAGCATTGTAGGGCCAGGGTGGCTCTTTCGTACTTCAGAATGCTATGGGCTTTGAATGAAGCCAGATGAAGACGACAGAACACAGATGTCGCCTGGCATTTGGTAGTTAGTGCAGAATGCTTCAGTACAATTACTGACAGGAGCAATACCTTGTAAGCATAAAATATCCTCGCTCAAGACATACAAGCTGGCTTTCAATTGATGACTGGGCCATATTCAAGTTGATACTCTTAATGTATATAAAGTCCTCAACAGCTTGGGACCAGTTAACGTGAAGGACTGCCTCACTCCACGTGCGCCCAAAGCTATTATGTTCAAGTAGTAATATACTAATGGTTGTTAAATAAATAAATAAAATTTCCTGGTATTGATGACTCAGAAGACTGGAATAAGGCATAAGCCCAAAGCCCACGTGGGAACAAATTCGTAGAAGATGGGGTGAATTCTGGTCCAACGGTTTCCCACCACTTATCAAAATGCATGTCTGCACAAGTGCAGGCAGCTATGTGTTCTCGCCTAAGGGCACAGGTGTTCTTTGCAGCCTCTCTTTCCCAAGTGTGGGAATGAATGGTAGCAGTCTGGAGGGAGCCGCTGCTTGTCCTGTATTCCCGAATCACTAATCGCACTTTACTGAAAAGGATAGTGGTTTTTTAACAACAACCCTGACATGGCAGCCTGTACCTGCTGCCAAGAAACGTCTATTGGCTATAGGATGTAGCAGTAGCATGTAATCTTGCTGGTGGCAAAGAATCAGAATCAGTTTTTTTAAAGTCAGAAAAATAAAATCCGAGAAGATCACAGCAGGCTAATTTTATTGGCCTATATCCAAATAACTGCAATTAGTTTAGCACACTGAATGAAGATTTGAATTTGTTTTTCTCACAGAAACCCCCACCCTTAGGACTGGCAGCAGTTTAAAGTGACCTTGGGAAAAGTAGCCTAGTGGACTCTCCCCACCATGGCTGTCCCAGAACTACCCTAGCAATTGTTACAGCAATGGAAAGCAGTATTTAAAACAACACTAGTACTTATGGCCCAGCACGGTTAGAAAAATGGCTTAGCTGGGTGTCCGCAGCTACCACCATCTTTATTTTCCCACAGTTCCTCTGGTCCTGCTGTTGTGTTTCTATGTTGAGGGCTGGGCTCAGAGGCACTGTGGAAAATTTTAAAAATGGCTGTAGATGCAGTAACCCAGCTGATCACCTCTCCTATCAGTGCTGGGCAGTAAAACTAAAAGGTCAAACTTAAAAAACAGCAACAACCACCCATGCAGATATACACGAAAGGCATGCCTGCAAGAGTCTGCTTGGCCCTGCTGATCTACATGGTCTTTCACGCCACCATGCCATGTTCCAACACTGGGCCTGACCTCGCAGGTTGCAAACTGAGGTAAGTTTCATAAGCAGTTTGTGAAATGGCATTAGTGGGCAGTAGGTATAAAAAGGTTGACTACTGTACAGTCAAACCTCAACTCCTGAACGCCTCTGTTTTGGAACGTTTCAGCTCCCGAACGCTGAAAACCCGAAAGTAAATGCTTCGCTTTTCAAATGTTTTTCAGAAGCCGAATGTCCGAAGCGGCTTCCACTTGAGTGAAGGAAGCTCTTGCAACCTATCGGAAGCTGTGCCTCAGTTGTCAAACATTTCGGAAGCTGAATGGGCTTCCGGAATGGACTACATTCAACAACCAAGGTTTGACAGTAGAACCGCCTCCTCCTGACATAAATTCATTCTCATTTACATTCTTTTCATTCATTTCTCACCTTCATATTTCTATCAAAAAAATAACCAAGCAAAAACATATTAAAGATACTCAGCTCTTCATTCAAGCTCCTCAACATGCCTCTTATGCACAAGATTCACTTTCACACGGTGTATAATTTTTTTGTTTTTGTATTTGTGAGTTTCTGGTTAATGAAAGCGTATTTTCATGGTCAACATTTCAGTAACATTTTACTAGATGACAAATAAATAAAAAAATACTACACAAAGCACTGTGTCACATTCCTTTCTGTAGCAAACAACTGCCAGAAAGGGGGAAGCTAATTTATTGCATAATATTCATGATAGGTTATAAATAAAGGCTCATTTATTCAGCCCTAATTATAGCAGCTCGCAGATCGAATTTACTACTAGGGTGCCATGATCTGGGATGCTGCATTCCAAAATGGAATATTCGCCTCATTTCCCCATATAATAGATCTGACTAACATTAAACTCATGAAGTATGTGGCAGCTGAAAATGGCTACTAGTGCCAAGGCAAGAGGTTTTCATCCATACTGCAGATAGGATTTTTTTGTATTTTAATAATGGGTCTCACTTGTCTGAAAAAAAATTACTAGGTTGTTCTTTTTTAAAACAACAACAACTGTGAACATCATCCTTTAAGGCTCGGACATAAATTTAATAAATCAATAAATAATTTAAGGATTTCTGACCCATTGTTAAAAAGCCTGCTGTGTGTTCGACATCTCTCATAAAGGTCACATCACACTTTTATGCAGCAAACTTGTTTACAGATGCATATCCCCCAACACCTGTGTATACTTCTCAGAGAATAGCATACAAATCAGGTCTCCCAGCTGGGTACACACAAGTTTTTAAGTACATATGTCTCTTGTTCACACTTCACATATCTGCTGTGGCCAAAACAAGGTCCCCACAGTAAAGTCTTAAAAGGCTACTGGTCTTTATGCTGCCAAGTGGCTTTACAGGAGCTAGAAGGTAGTCTGAGATGCTGAACAGCTTCAGGTTTCAAGGAACAACAGAGGAACCAGTTTTTCTAGGCTCAGAAAGGACCGAGAATGTAACATTGTCAAAGTCCCCGTATTTCTTCTAAATTTTATTTATTTATTGTATTTAGTCATCACTTTTCATACACAAATGGGTGTCCCAAAGTGAAATTAAAACCATGTATAAATCAATTGTAAAGCACCATAGCTGAACTTGCTAATCCAAGAATATTTGTAAAAGGACAAATCCCAGCCACCCAGCTAGAATATGAGCACTAAAACTGGCCAACTCCTCACCACCCACAACTCGCCTCCCTCCAAGTGAACAGTCAAAGGCCTGAGTAAATAAACATTTTAGCTTAGCACCTAAATGCAGGCAATGATGGTGCCAGGTATACTAATAGATGAACTTCTGGCAGCAACAAATCTAGACTATTTTAGCACCTGTACATTAAAATGCCTCCCCAT